GTCGACAAGAATCAAACTGCACTTTTGCTGAAAGTGCATTAAAAAAACTGCTTTCATGTAGTTTAATTTTTTAGAACTTAAGGACCAAATTGCAAAATCTCCGACTCTTTACTATAAAGTTGCGTATTTATATAAAGAATACATTTAAAAAAATCAAGACAAAACATCACTAAATCAGAAGAAAGCAGCGGACGAGATAAACAACAAACTGGAAATAGAAGTTTTTTGTTCGATTACCGATTATTTGCAACCCAAAAACAATCATACAATCGATTAATCGAATTTGTAACAATCGCAAAAAAAACAATCAATTATGAACAAAAACAATTCGATTGTCGATTAATCGAGTCACAATTGGCCATCTCTACGCGTGGCTGTCCTGGCGAGACCCCTTGACATGAAGCGCCCTGCGCTCACTCCCGGTGACCGTGATATGATCCACCGACAGCGTCTCCGTGTCAGCTCCTCTCTCTTTTTTTCTCCTTCTTCCTCTCATACTCAGCAGCAGGTAAACGTCGTCGAAAAATCCCACGATGATACTCGGAACGGTGAGGCGCCAATGTTACATACAAAAAAAAGTAAAAATAAAATGCTATTCTAATCTAACGCATGCAAGCCCTGGAAGATCCTGGCGCTCGTATATCAGCTCGCTTTCCCGGGTTCCCGTGAAAATCCAAACTTTTGTGGCGAGGGAGGAGCGACGCGGATACCACGTCACAATATATATATATATACACATGTTCGCTTATGTTCAAAATAATGAGGATTAATAATTTGCATGCAATGAGATCACAATTTGCTTGCATTCAACATTCTCACGTTCGAATTCACATACAATAGAAAATACTCGGATAATTTAATATTTTCACAAAACAATAAATATCAAAGTGTAATTATCAAGTAATTATTTTATTATGGAATATTTAATACATTATTTTCATAGATATATACATGTAATGGAGAGTAATATTTAATTTCAAAACAGTTTTTGCACGTCACATTTAATCACATTTAATATCTTCGCATTCGAACTCGTGTACACATACTACAAAAAAGTATTCAATTGTAGTTCTCATACAAAATGACATACATCTCATAATATATTCTATTTTACATTTACATTGACATTTATTTATTTAGATCCGATAATGGCAATTTCTCTCTCTCTCTCTCTCTCTCTCTCTCTCTCTCTCTCTCATTAGTCTTATTTCTTAATTTTCATATTCAGCATATTATTTTTCATATTTTATTCTTAATGTCATGTTATATTTATCTATTTCTCATACTCATTTTTTCTTATTTTTCTTATTTTATTTTTTTATTTTTTATTTTTATTTTTATTTTTATTTTATTGTATATACTTTTATTTTTTATTAAGTTTGTAGTTATTTTATGTTTGTTAAGTTGCGCTTGAGGGGACCTGTCCCAGAGCGCCTAAAAAATAAAGCATCAATCAATCAATCAATCAATCTCTCTCTCTTTCTCAATTTAAATTGCTTCCGAAAAATGTGCTGTCGCTTCAGTTTCTCTAAACGAAATCGTATGTATTTTCATTCGCTTAAAACACGAGACGATGCTCAAAGAAATTCGGAGGATTTCATCGGCGAAAGGGATACGCTGATGGCGCGCGGCGGAACGATTTGGAGCGTGAAAACTGTAACACGGAAAAACACTCGCGCGCCGCACCGGATTTCCGAAGATTGGAAAAGCTCGTCGCAAAAATCGGCAGACGAAATTTCTTTGCGATTTTTTTTCCTGTTACTGGCGCCTTTCTTACCAGCTCTACAAATACAATCTCATTGTGTTCGCCAGCCACAAAATCACGTCGAACGAGATTCGACGACGCTTGACGTTTGTTTCTGAGCGTATCGCTATAGAAATACTTACTCGAAAAGATATTTGTCGTGAAAATAACTGCGCTTTTTTCGACGCATTAGCTAAAAAACTAGGATTCACACTTTGCTGAAGGGAAAAAAAGAAGAATATTATTTTGACGAAGAATTTTTTTTAATATATGACGAATGATGAATAATTCCAAATATATTCAAAAAAGAAATTGATGAACGGCAGTTGGAGCAAAACACTGATGTTGAAGTGTGAGGTGAGAAATTGTTTATTTAAAGAATAATGTGTAGTTGTATAAACGTTTCGACCCTCGATTTGGGTCTTTATCAATATAGTTTAATAAGCAGGAGATGTGGGTCTGCGATTATAAAGATGTGTAACACAAAGGTACAAAGAAATAACTAACACATCTTCACAGAAGCGGATGTAGCAACTATAAATTAAAAATTATTTTAACTATAAATTGACACATTTATTCAACTTAGGCCTAGTCGAGGAGAGTAGGTGTAGATTTTGCGGTGAGGAAAGGGAGGACAGCGTGCACATACTATGTCGCTGCCCGTCTCTAGTACTCAAGAGGTTTAGATCTCTGGGCTCCATGTTCGTGGAGCCCGAAGACCTGAAAATACACAATATCGGCCACCTGTGTAGCCTGGCAGCAAATGCCGGGTTAAAACAGCCTGGACGATAAACTACTAGCGGGAGTCGCAGAGGATCTTATAGATCTAGGTGACAAAAGAGACTCACACAAGCCCCCCGCTTTTAGCTTATCTTATCTTATCTTATCTTAACTATAAATTATTAAACTATATTGATAAAGACCCGAATCGGGGATCGAAACGTTTATACAACTACACATTATTCTTTAAATAAACAATTTCTCACCTCACACTTCAACATCAGTGTTTTGCTCCAACTGCCGTTCATCAATTTCTTTTTTGAATTTTTTTTTAAGGTTTAAATTATATCACTGAACGTGCAAACGATATCTAGAAATGCGTAACACGTTGCGTACATATTTTACTAGCCATTGTCAAGTCCCGATGATGCACAAGTTGAATATTTCACGATCCTGAAAGCGCAACGCTTCATTTGGAGAGATATCGGATTTTTCCTGATTCACTCGGTTCCCGAATTCATCTCTGCGAGTTACAAGTTTCGATTTGTAATAAAATTTAACAGAGCGCACACAATAGGATTATACGAGAATAGCAGCAGCAGCAGCGTCTACGTGAACAAGAAAGTGCTCGGGGGAATGTGGATGAAACAGAACCGTATCGAGTTTCGAAAAAATTCTGGTCTTTTTTCTCGTGCGGTAAATATTTTTCAAAATTTCCTCACGCACACCACTTCGATTATTTTCTTCACGAGATTAAAAGACACGCGACCATATTCGCTTATTCCGTTCTTATGTAGACATCAAAAAATTGGGCACGTATTATACCCGCCCAATAATACGCGCCCAATTTTGATGTCTACATAAGAGCGGAATAAGCGAATATGGTCGCGTGTCTTTTAATCTCGTGAAGAAAATAATCGAAGTGGTGTGCGTGAGGAAATTTTGGAAAATATTTACCGCACGAGAAAAAAGACCAGAAACTTTTCGAAACTCGATACCCGCCCAATGATACGCGCCCAATTTTGATGCCTACATAAGACAACCATAACGCAGCTAACAATTATACAACTAAACAACAACTATACAAACCATATATTGTATAGTGTTGTTTAGTTGTATACTTGTTATTATACTAATATTTGTTTTGTATAATATACAATGTACAGTCGGCGTCAATGAATCGTTTCGTGGACGCGGGGAGCTAGGGGTAAGAAGGACGGTATTCCCTAGCAGTAAATACTGTAATTGGTCAATTCCATATATGTAATACTCCTGTATTGCTAGTACGGTGCCGACCTGAAGCTCACCGTTACGGTGCAGACAATATAGTAGCCTCTCTCTCCAGCTGCTTTGTGCGCATGCGGTGAACATTCAAGCACGCTTGCGCATTTCTCTTTCTCGCGTTCTTTCTCTCACTTTCCAATGCT